GCTTCTCTTAACTTGGTTCTGACCCAAGTTCAATCCTAGATGAGACATATTGAGAAAAGAGGTGATAGTAAAAAGACTGGGATGTGAGAAGCGAATACGGTGAATACTATAGTGCGCTAGTCTGTAGTTTACCGCGTGCCTGATGTAGGGAGCTCGACCTTATTATATAATCGTCGGACTTTGAATCTTCGACGAGGCTTTCCTCCTACATAGCGGCAATACAGGCCATATATGAAGAGGCCAAATCCCTTAGAATTCCAAAACAAAGCAATTTGTGCCCTCAGAATTCCTGTTACAGAGGTTGTTGAGGTGCAAAGTTGTTACCGGCCGGTTCACATCAAAATTCGGCCTCACGGTTTTACCTGGGAAAATTTGAGCGTGAAAGTTGTCGGTTCTCGTGGTCGGCTGAATAATCCCCAAGAAGATCGATGAACAACGCGCTCTAACCCTCATTTCTATGTCCGAGAAATTCAAGATTACATAATAAGGCTGACCTCCAATCAACTAATCAAGGCACTCAACAGACTACAACATGTGAGGTACGAGCTACTTCTGTTGTAGCGTCTGTCTATGAGAGACTAATAGTGCGCGACGATGGAGGACGGGAGAGAAAATTTCTGAGGCTGTGCTCTCGCTCCACTGCCCAGCGGGCTAGGGTTTAGCCGACAGCGCAGCTCATTGGCCACCTTGCCGAGTGATCGGCAGCATTACTTAAGAGGACAATCAGCCAAATCAGCTAGGGCTCCAACCGTTTTCGTGTATAAATGGTTTTACACGGTTACAACCGTTTTCATTTTCGTTTTATTTGAGGCCAGGGCTACACGATAAACAAACCATTTTAGATGGTTTAAATGGTTTTATTTCTGAGCCGACCCCAAGCGGGTAACTCGGCACTACAAGCTCGCCACACGAACTCGTTTCTGGACAATGTGTGTAGGGCACACATTGAGAGGTTGATGTGACCTTGCTGGGGGAGTTCGAACACTTTTGGGATGCATTTAGAACTTGCTGTGGCAACCCGAACACAGCATTGCTGTGGTGGAAGGTGAGAAGACCGCTGTGAAAATTCAACTACTGACATGTATTTCCAGGAGCACGAACACATATTTCCATTGCTTCGAAGATGGCACATGATTTTCTCGCGATCCCTGGCACCGGAGTCTCCATCGAGCACTTGTTCTCAAAATAACGCCACTTGTGCCAGGATGCTCGTGGATCCTTCAAAGCCAAGACCATAATGGAGGCAATGCTCACCAAAATGTGGATCAAGGTTGGGTTCCTGAAATGCACATCGTTGGACGGTGGCAGGGGGTAGTAGTTGGCTGGTTCGATTGGTATTTGTAGCTGACCAAAAATACTGTTTATAAATAGTTTTAAACGGTTTTTAAACGTTTATTAACCGTTTTCGTGTAATTTGACCGGATCACTACACAAAAACTAAATGATTGGAGCCCTAAAATCAGCCAATCTTCATGGATCATCTCAGGAAGCAGTAACTTCCTTGCTGAACCGTAAGAAGCTGACTCTCGGAGTTCATGTGGTTTAACCCAAAGTTCCCAGGTTGAACTTTGAAATTTAGGTTGGCCGATCGGATTGTGTGGACCAGGCTATTTGATCAATCCCACCAAGGGCTTCGTGCTGCCGGCTTCCAAGCTCACCTACAACCCTCACCTATCACATTTACCAGCAAACACCGTTCTACACCAAGTTTACTTCAAAACTCATCGGACTAAATACTTCTATGTTCGTGAGCTACATCCTTCCAATATCGACCCGCTACTGGCCCCAAGCTGCTTTGATCAGATCCGCGGCTCTTTCCGCAATTATGTATACTGCGGCTTGGGTGTGAGCAGCAGGGATGAAAGGCTACGGATTCTCGGTAAATGAGCGGGTTGAGAAAGGCAAGTGACCTACCACGACCGAGAGATCGACAATTCGTAGGCCAGTCAATCCTTTCACTCGCAAATCCGGATTGACCACGCCCCAAGTCGCGTCTCTGGAGGACATGCTCGCCGAGCCCGCGGGGTGAAACACGCTCCCAGCGTTCGCGCGAATGAACGAGTCGAGCTCAGCGTCAGTGCTGTTAAAATTCAGGCCGACGGGGGAAATAACGTAGCCCGCCCAAGCGGGGGCGGAAGCAAAGCGCAGAGCGCTCTTGAGAGACTCCCGCATGATGAAGAAATCTACGTCGGTGCCAAGGAAGTTCGGGTTGATGAGAGGAGCCGCAAGTGGATTATTGCTACCCAACGTCACCGAGCCACCTGATAAGGCTGGTCAGCGTCGGTACATGTTTCATGCCAGGGCCATCACATACGAGCGGCAGGGGATACCACAGCAGTAGATATGCTCATGAAATTTCCGGTGGGAGGGGCGGGACCCAAAAGTCCATTCGCGAAGATGAGCTCGTAATGCGATGTGTTGGGCCCCGCAGCTGGATCGGGGAACTTCTCAAAGATGGACGTGTTCAGAACCCGAAGCCAGCCCAGATGGCTCGTGGGATTATCGACGTAGGGGCCAGTAAGCGTGGTATTCCACTGGGCCAGCTCTTGAGCCGCCAAGGTGGCGTTGCGCTCGACCGTTTCGTACGTGTTGTTCGAGTTCACAAGAAAGCCCACGGACAGCAATGTATGGTCGGTGAAGTTTTGACCGACCGATGGGAGATTGTGCAGTGGTTTGATCCCGAGGGAGGTTAGCGTTGCGGAATTGCCGATACCTGAGTGCAATAATATACTTGGTGTCCCGATACTGCCGGCCGAGAGAACGATCTCGTTCGTTGCCGTTAAAATGAACGGCTTCCCTACGGCAGTATTGGATGGCTTTCGGACGTAAGGGGAGGTGAATAAAGCTCACCGTTGAGATCCTGGAGAAATTCAACAGTGCGGAACGCACCCGCTGTAGTTTGAAGAACGCGCGTCACACGCGCGTTCAACAGAACATGCAGGTTGGGGCGGCTAATGAACTGTGGGGCAAGATACGATGTCGCCGAGCTGCTTCTCGACCCGTTCTTTATAGTGGTCTGTCCCCAACCTTAGAAAACTGTATCATTAAATGTGATTTTCTTCCATACGGTGCGTACCAATCCCAAGCTGGTATCCCGAGTTCATGTCGAGGTTGAATGGAAACTCCGTCGACTCAGTTGTGGTCTTAATGATCCGGCTATTCACCGGGCTAGGGAAGCCTGCGAGTGAGACGGTATTGATACCGTTAAACCCGTGAACTGCAGGATTGAACTGCCCAGTGATGTTGTGGTGGTCCGAGGTCTGGAGGCTGAAGCGCTCGTTCTGGCAAAGTTCCGCGTGAGAACTTCAGATAAAGCTATGCCAGTAAATTCCACCTTGCGCATGTATGGAATAAGACTGTCCCAAGACCAGCCATTGTCCCCGGTGACCTTAGCGAACCTATCAAAATCTTCCTTTGACCCCCGAGTATAAGCCATGTAGTCTTATTCTCTCTTCAACACGGAATAAGACAGTTGAACCAAATTACTCACTAACTGAGCTGCTACCTCCGAGAACGAATCCCCGAGGGTAAGCTACCGTCCGGCCATTGAGCGCAGTCTGCGGGGTCGTCGTGTAGTTCCAGTCCTGTGGCGTGTCTGGTGTTGCATGGATACAAAAGAAAGGGACAATGATGTTTAGGACATCAGCATTTCTGTGTTCAAAATGAATTTTCTCGGACAAGAAATCGCACCGGAAATCTTACGATCCGCCTGCCTCAAGTATCAAAACCTGGTTCTTGGGATTTTCGGACAGACGGTTGGCGATGACATTTCCCCCCGTTCCCCCTTTAGAGAAACAGCAATAAGTGTCTGCTGCAGTCCCCAGAGAGACATAAATCTCTCACCACCCACGACGATAAAATTGAAAGTGAGGCCCAACTTGCTCAAATCCGCGACATTATTGATAATGGCGGCCGAGCAGCGTGAGATTCCCAAGGCAAGGAGCAACAGAGAGTTAAACCAGGCCATGGTCGTTGTAAACTACTGCTGCATCTCCGCGTCTTTAAGTAGTCCAGCATCAGCTCATTATGGCAGGTGGATCTGTGCCTGACCAGGATTAGGTTCCGACTTCTCGCCCAGAGGTCTGCAAATGGAGTCCCTGAGTAAATGAAGCCTTAGTAAGAGACGTGCGCACTGATTTAGGTACATCCAATCCAATACATTCGCCCGGGGTACGCCACATCACCGCAAGGCCCAATTACTGCCGACTCTCCAAGGGAAACCGGAAACCTTTAGAGCAACGGCATTGCATAGTAAAGCCGACAAGACAAAATAGGCGAGACACCGAAGTTCTCCGCTGGAACCAACGTGATTCATCGGCATGTCTTTCACTGTCAGCACACCGAAGGGGATGGCCCGGGCGGGCACGAATCACTTTGCTGGCAAGGTCTCTCCACCCTCATAATTGAGGCGCATTTTATAGAACCCGATGATCCGTTTTCCCCCAAGCCAATGGGAATACTTCGCCTTCATCCTCGATTACATACAGTAGGTAAAATCCGCCGCGCTTCTGATTATTGCCGACCATTGCCGGGTCCGCACAGTCGGCAGCCTGCAGTAATCAAGAGCGCGAGCAGGAGCTGGCAAGACCCCAAGTATCAGTGTTTTGTCAAGCAAGGTCTCTTTCGACGTAGTTGAAGATCCCTAGTGCTGACTGGCTTCCCGTAAAGGCATGGTAAACACAATATCCGACGGGATTTATCAGCACGCCCGGTCTAGTGTCAGGAAGCCGAATGCAACGCTAAGCACGGACAACCGGCTTCTGCCCTGTAAAAGGCTACCAGTACAATTACAGCTCATCCAACTTACGTATACTCGCTAAACCCAAGTGTTCTCGGAGATGTAACCTGATAATCGTTGCTAGCAAGTAGACTTGTAACCAGTCTGCCTATAATACGGAGTGTAAAAAATGTGACGAGCACTGTTGCCGTAGACAGGTACTTCTCTCAAGGGGGGATCGGGATTAAAATATCGGATATGGCGGGGGTCTGGGGAACCGGAAGGCCTCCGACGGGAGTCGAACCCGCATCTCCTCAGGACCGACAGTCATATACGCGATAACAGTGTGAGGTGATGAACCACTCATCCTCGGAGGCTTCATTCCTCCCCCTCATCCGCGTTGACACCTCACTCAGTTGAATTCAGATAGGCTGCAAAGAAAAGGAGAGAAAACCAATAAGGCCCATCCATGTCGCCGGCGGGACTCGAACTCGCGTTTTCCCATTAAGTGTTTCCTTAAGGCCACTACGCGATTGAGGTGATATACCACTCATCCTCGGAGGCTCGATCCCTCACCCCGCATCCACATTGATACTATATGCTTAACACCGTGCAGCTGAAACATGGCTTGTCAAGAAGCGAGTAAACTGTAAAACACTAGAAATAGACTTCCTCCCCATGCCTCTAGCGGGACTCGAACCCATATCTCCTCATTACCGTAATTTCCCAGAATTTACCTTGAGATAAACAAGGTGATGAACCGACCGCTCATCCGTATCCGCGGAGGCTTGACACTACTCAAGGTGCACATGCTAACATAGGATGGAAATTGCACATCCCGCAAACATTTTTCCTACCTGCCTTTCTTTCCTATCTGGTCAGTCCATTCCGAGTTGAGACAGCACTAGTGCTCTGTATCCTATGAAACAGGTCTCATGGACACAGGTAACTGGTGGAGATTTCTGTTTCCAGCAGACGAAGAAAGACCAAAAGCAAAAAAGAGAAACAAAAGACCTCAGACCAAATATGCCTTCGCCTCGAGCCCGGGTCTCCCCATTAAGCTTCTCAAATACATACGAGATTGAGGCCTAGGTGTTGTACCGCTCATTCGCGGAGGCGTTACACTCCCATAATATTATGCATCCAAAATCGACCGTCTCATCCCACCACTCATCTGGACAGTTTCTGTTTTACCCGCCCTGAAAAGTACTTAGATTCAGATTCCGACGCAGGCCCAGGACATTGACACTGGCTTTCTGCCCAACTTTTTGACAGGATCTCCGGCATGGGAAGCTTTGACGGACCTTATAGGACGAAACTGCTGTCTTTGCAGTTCAACCCTTTTACATGTAAAGAATCCCACAAAAATTGAGACAACTCGTGCATTTTTCATCGACATGAGAGATCTTCAAAAATCTTTAAACTACGGAGCAGGACAAGCAAGCCACTCGGACAAGTCCGGATCTACCGTTGACTCGGAGTTTCCACCGGAAAAGTCTTTTCATCAACCTATGACATGACCTGGATTTAGCTACAAGTGCGTGTTGATTTATATTGCGCCGACAGCGTCTCCTCGTTGTTGTGGCCTAGCTCTGTGTGTCGCTCTCCCAAGGGGCTCTCGCAGCGCTTCTATCGTGACCATTGCTGTCAGTTGTGTCCCGTGCTTTCCTGCAATCAATCCTAAAGGTCACTCTGCAGGTTCGTACCGGACCTCAGATTGGGCTGCAGCGAAAGAAAGATTTTGGAACTATTAGAGACCCAATTATACTCACGTAGTTTATAAACTGAACAACAAGTTTACGGAAGACAAACAAGTAGTATGTAGGGAAATCGATTGATTGGGGTTTTTTTTAAGAATTTGGTCGTGCTTGGTGGTCCCATGCGGTCGTGTTCGGTCACGTGCTCCTTTTCATTTCTTTCTTTCTGTTTTTCAAGAATCAAGGACCACCTGCTCGATTCATTCTCTTGATCCTCTAGCTACGTTCCCGGTGCCCGGATTCCCTGTCAAATTGTTTCCAGACATCATTGGCTGCTCGGACGCGATACCGATAATGACTTTCAGCGGCACGTCTCATTGTCAGCATCTCTTCGGCCCTAGCAGACATCCGACTCGTCCCCTGGGCAATGGAGTGCAACACCCCTATTGTCTGCGCATGGGCCGCCCTTTGATGGCACAAACTCTTTGTCGTGTTCGTTGAACGGTAACCCCTCCGAGAGCCTTACTGTATTATTTCGATCAATTCGACAGGGGGTGTGACCCGTGACCCAAAAAACCAATTCGACAATTCGACAACCACCGAATTTTGGCGTGACACCCTTCAAAATTTCGACATCCGAGACGCAAAATTTAGGTTTTTAGCATGGTTGAGAGAAATTTGGGTTGGTCGTGACGAAAGTTGCATTCGACAGACCCCTCCGTGACCCGTGACCCCGACCATATTTCGACATCGACAGGGGGGTCCGTGACCCGTGACTGTCGAATTGATCGTAATAATACAGTATATGGCTGTTCCCTCATCCCCTGCCCCGATCTCTCTTGGTCCAGTACTGTGTTACCGAACCTCTACATTAACCGTTCTTTAACGAGATGGTCCTCGTTGAGTCATTGGTACGTGTTGTGGTCCTTTCTCCATTTGCACTCATCTCCATTCTTTCTGCTTCCCTCTCCTACTGCGCATCCCGGGTCATGCACTATTTCTGTGAACCTATTTCTCCATTGGCACAAATACGGACTGCGAAGTTCCTCGCAGGGTGCCCACGAGACCCCAACAAATTTCGACGATAGCGGAAACTTGAAAGCCTCGTGAATCAACCTCGATATTTATCAAGAACTCACTGGCGTCTGCGCCGCTTAACGAAATTCACGGCTCGCTTTCTCCCCCGTACGATTTTCTCCTCTCCTAGTCATTCTCATCTTCCACCCAAATGTTCCACCACCGAGCAAAAACTACGCTTTGCACAGCATCCCCATCCCCATCAGGTTGTCTCCACTGCGGCGATCCACAAAACTTAGTGGGAAAAAAATGGGCTAGAATCATGTTGTTAATTTATTGGGCCCAAAACTTAGTTGAACAAAAATTACATGAAAAGATGGGAACTTCTATTGTAATTTGTGCGACAAAGAGTCAGGATTTTAGTGCTAGTTAAAGTTGACAAAAAGTCTGAGTTTTTGTATTAATTTTTCCCCCGAAAAAAGACGATTTTTTCTCAGGAAACTTTGGCCCCAGAGTTTCTCTACTAAAATCCCATCTTTTAATCAGGGGAATTACCACGGTAAAAGGCCAACTTTTACATAAGATTTCCCGCGACTAAAAGATGGGATTTTAGTGATGGAAAAACCACGGTAAAATCCCATCTTGTAGTGGGGCTTTTTCCCCCACTAAAATATGAGTGCGCGCTGGCAGGCGCTCCGCACCCGCCCAGTACGCCGGTCCGTGCGCGCTAGTACCTCGCTCCGCGGGCGCTAGTACGTGCTAGCGTGTCGCACGCTTACTGGCGGGCGCGATGCACAACATTAATATTCATCTTTGCCCGGTTATGTGGAGGCTGTGGAAAGTGGACAGACCTAAACCTGACACCATGGCACGTTCATGATCAACACATCAGAGTGCGCGCCCTAGCGGGCGCGCGGCGCACGCGCGTCTTTGTTCTCTTTCTTCCTGTGTCACCTGTCGGCCCGATTCCCGAGCTTCTTCCTTTCCTGATCCCTTTGTTTTCGTGTACGCTGGAATCGTGACGGTGTCAACACAAAAATAGAAGCAAGGCACACAACATTTACAGAGTACACGGCCCCAATGTGATTTACCCGGGCGCGCCAACTTGAACGCGACGCGACAAGCGGCTTTAATCGGAAATCCCGATTTGGCGCACGCGATTGACATGTGGCGGTGCTCGGCAATCACCTGGCCTGGCGCGCCGCGTCGCATGTTGGCGGGACGCTAAGGGAGCGCCCGCCCGCAAATCATGTTTGTTGAGGCGACACTGTGGCTTCTTTCTTCTCACCATCCCAGTGTACACTGAAGGAAGGGATCACCATAGAAGGATGTACGGGATTCGGGCCGACATGAAGGAAGATCTATAAAGAGAACAAAGACGCGTGCGCCGTGCGCCCGCTAGGGCGCGCACTCTGATATGTCGATGATGAACGTGCCATGGTGCCAGACTTCGGTCTGTCCGCTTTCCAACATAACCGGGCAAAGATGAATATTAATGTTCTGCGTCGCGCCCACCAGTGAGCGTGCGATGCGCTAGCACGTACTAGCGCCCGCGGAGCGAGGTACTAGCGCGCACGGACCGGCGTACTGGGCGGGTGCGGAGCGCCTGCCAGCGCGCACTCATATTTTAGTGGGGGAAAAAGCCCCACTAAAAGATGGGATTTTACCGTGGTTTTTCCGTCACTAAATCCCATCTTTTAGTCGCGGAAAATCTTATGTAAAAGTTGGCCTTCTTCCGTGGTAATTCCCCCCACTAACAGACGGGATTTTAGTGGAGAAACTCTGGGGCCAAAGTTTCCTGAAAAAAAATCTTGTCTTTTTTTCGGCGGAAAAATTAACACAAAAACTCAGACTTTTTGTCAACTTTAACTAGCACTAAAATCCTGACTCTTTGTCGCACAAATTACAATAGAAAGTTCCCATCTTTTCGTGTAATTTTTGTTCAACTAAGTTTTGGGCCCAATAAATTAACAACATGATTCTAGCCCATTTTTTTCCCACTAAGTTTTGGGGATCGCCGCAGTGCTCTCTCCTCGTCTTTAGTCTTCAGCCCCCGGATACTGGCAGTGCAAATGGACCGAGTAAGGTGCTCGAAGACCTATTCCCATTGTATACACTAATATTCGCACTGTGCCCGCAGTTGTTACTACTGTGAGCTGGAGAATTAACCCACATCTGGATGGTGGCGACGAACAGACGAGCCCATGATCCCTCTGGCACTTTGCGCAGCACAGTCCTCTCAGGTTGCCCGAACTGCTACTACTCGATACGGAAACTAGAACAAGCCTCGTGGGCATCCGAACAGCTGTCGAGGCAGTTCATCAGCTGATTTATTCACAGTTAATTCCGCAAGACGCGTACAAGACGGCACTCGTTATGCTGCGGCCGCGTAGCCCTTTGCGCAGCCACCTCAGTTTAAAAAGGCATATCTGCACGCTCAATTCCCCCCGACTCCCCGACTGCACTCTTCACGCACCATTGGATTTCGATTTGACCCAAATTCCGCAAGCCCACCCAACATGATTCTTCCCTAGCACTACAGGATACTTTCAAGATGATGCCTGGCTGTGCTGCGTCTCAGGCTTCATCAACCATTCTCTCGGTGCAATGTTCAGTGCTCTCGCTCGGCGTTCCAACTGCTGCCAACTTCCAATGCACCACTC